TGTCTCTGAGCCTTCTAAACTCTGGGGTGCCCTGGCTCGATCTTCTTTCCTGTAATTCCCACACTCACCCAGGGGCTCAGTCCTCCCTCCCAGCCTGGCCTCACCCACCCTTTTACCTGAGTCACCGCCTTTGCCTTCTGACTGGTCTCTCTGGGCCCCCTCACCCCTGCGCACTTCCTTAACAGTGTCAAATGATCCTTCTCAAACTTGCGTCTGTTGTGGAGGCTAGATGGGTTTCCTTTCTATCTCAGTGAAAGCCAGAGTCTTATTGATGACCCAGCAGGACCCATGCAACCCAGTCCCCCATCTCCGATGCTCTTGCTCACTCTACTCCCTGGACACACCCCACCCCAGGGCTTTTGCACTGGCTGTCCCCTCTGCTGGCCTCCATCTTCTCCTGGCAAACTCATGACTCTTGTCGCCTCAGTCAGGATTTCACTTAACCTTGTAGTGGGGGCTCCCTTTAGACCCTCTTATCCTCTCCTTGCTAGACTTTCTCGACACTCTTAGGAGGAACTTATTAAACTGACTTCATTCATGCCTAAAACATGGCAGTTTCAAGTGGTCCAAATCCCTGTGTTTTCCTTACTGACATTTTCTGCCCCTTTTCATCAGGTGTCAGTTCCTGAGGGACACAGTCCTGCTGTTCCCAGTGCACTGGCCTGCAGCGGGCCCTGAGTGATGCTTTTCAGGAAGCTGCCTTGTCCTTGGTGTGTCCTGGGTATCTGTCTGTGACCTCCCACTGGGCTCTGCGTCCCTTCTGGTTCCTGTCTCTCCCTGCCCAGTGCTATCTTTGAGTCCCTGAGAATATCTTGCAGCCACCAAACATGTCCCCAGCCCCCAGGGGCTCTGTGGGGCACAGACACAGCCTTAATGTCAGGTGATAGGGAGGGGAAGCCACCTGTCCCATTGCCCTCCTGCTAGGCCAGGGCTGAGCCCAGGGCTGCAGGTCCCAGGGCCTGAGAGTGAAGCTACTCAAGGAGCAGTTGGCCACATGTCACTGGGACCCATGCTCCCAGGACTGGTGTCATAGTGACAAAGGGACTCAGGGCCCCTTACTGGCTGCCTTCCCTTCCTGGGTTCCCAACCCCCTCCATTTCCAGGTAGCCCCTCACATTTCCTCTCCCCCACCTGCATTTCTGGGGAGCCCCTCGTATTCCTGCCCCCACCTCTGCAGGCTGCACCCAGGTCATCCTCTGCATGGATGAGCCCAGGCCACACCAGCAGCTAAGCCAGCTGAAGCAGCAGCTGCCACCCTGGCAGAGGCACAGGGGAGGTCACACAGGACCCTGGGGACCAAGACAGCAGAAAAGAATTGAAGCCAATCATTTAATCTCCAAGGAAGACAGAATCAATACACGGGGATGAAATGAGTGACGGGGAAACCCTGTGTCTGGGGAAATTTGGGGAACAGGTTGTCCCCAGTGTCCTCTCATGCCCACAGAGAGCAGCAGCTGCTCTGGTCTTCAGCATCTGAGCCAGGGTCCTGCACAGAGCCCCAGCTCCAGGCTTCCCAGCTCCCTTGTGTGGTCCTGGATGTACCTGGCTAAAGGGATGAGTTTTAGCAAGGCTGGAGAAGTGGACACAGGCAGAGGGCCGCAGCCCTTGGTCCCTGGAGCTCACAGATTCTGTCTTAGAGACTGAGTGACATCTAAGCCCATGACTCTTTTCTTCTTTCTTCTCCTTTCTTCTTCCTCTCCCTCTCCCTCTCCTCCTCCCCCACCTCCTCCTTTCTTCTCCTTTACCTTCCCCTCCTCCTCCCCCTTCCCTTTAGTACTGGGTATTGAATCCAGGGCCTTCATGCTAAACTACATTTCTAGTCCTATTTTAATTTTAATTTTTGAAATAGTCTTACTAAGTTGCTAAGTTGCCCAGGTTGGACTTGAACTTGCCATCCTCCTGCCCAAGCCTCCTAGAGTGCTGGGTCAGGACTCTTTCAACTCTTAGTGACTTAGCCAACATGGGGCTGCTTGTTACAGCAGCATAATCTTGCCCATCCTGACTGATACCACAGTGCAACTCAACCAACAGGGAGATGGATCAAAATCAAGAGCTCAGAAGTGACAAAGCTATAGTTTTTAAAATAATGGTACTAGGGCCAGGGATTTAGCTCAATGGTGCAGCCTCCTGCCTTGCAAGCACAAGGTCCTGAGTTCAATCCCAGGTACAAAAAACAAAAACAACCAGTTAAATAATGGTACTAGCCGAGTATGGTGGCACACATCTGTAATCCCAGCACTTGGGAGGCTGAGACAGAAGGATCACTGCAAGTTCCAGGCTGGCTTGGGCTACATAGTGAGTTCAAGGCCAGCCTGAACTACATAGGGAGACCCGGTCTCAAAACAAAACAGAACAAAAACCAAGTAAAATAATGATACTTACAAGGATTGGTGGTAATCCCATAAATATAACTAAAACTAAACAAAGATTATGCTTATGGGAAGAATGTAAATTCTATAAACCTTGATAAATTGAAAAGTCTTAATAAAACTAATAAAAACTGAGAAGTGAGGACAATGTGCATGTACTCAGTTCTTTTAACTTTTACAGTAGGAGTCCATACCACATATCATCGAGAAATTGAATTGAAAATAAACCTAGCAATACTGACCTCTCACTGCTTTCCCCCATAGTATTCTTGAACTCAACAGAAATTGAGTTAGAAGTTTATCACTGTATCTAATGATGAAGAAAAAATTCAGCAAAGCTTAGCGATTCTCTAAGATTCACTTTTTTTCTTCTTTAAAAGAAAACTAAATTTTGGCACTTTTGCCTTAGGTTGGCTTCTTCTAGAAGCAGATTCAGGGCTAAAATTGGACTGTTTCATGGTGGCAGCAGGGGACACAGTGAGCCCCAGAAATACAGAGAGCGCAGGAAAGCAAGGCAAAGAGAGAAGGAAGGGACCCTAAAGAGAAAAGGACTAATGGAGCTCAACCCAGTGGGGAGCCTGGGTCCCAGCCAAGGAACCAGGAAATGGGGAATTCACCATGATCAGTGGCGGCCACAGGACAAGGCACCAATAATATTAATAAAACTCTTTTGAGTTTAAAAAGCCTGTATAATAGATTAATATCAAATGAATTATGCAGAATATCAAACTTAAAAGGCTACATACTGTGTTATCCCATTTATATGGATTTCTGGATAAGTCAAAATTATAAGGACAGAAAAGAGGCTTGTGGTTGTCTGCGACTAAGTGGGACAGGGAACTCTCAGGTGATGAAAGCGCTCCAGGTCTCCATTCAGGGTGTGTTTGCCTCGATTCATAGAATTGCACACCTGAAAAAGTTTGATCATACGTGAAGTGTAGCTCTGAAACTTAACAGCAACAGTCTTAAAAATATTTGTTATTTCAGGTAAGTGAAATCTCCTCTCTTCAGGACTTAATGACTTGCTTCTAACATAGACTAGGGCAGAAGTCAGAGTGTAGGTGATAGAGACACGGTGGCTTCCTGCTCCCTGCCCCCTCCCCTCCTTCCCTCTCCCCCTCTTCTCTTTCTCCTCTCTCTCTCTCTTTCTCTCTCTCTCTCTCTCTCTCTCTCTATCTATCTATCTCTCATCAGCCTCAGGGGAAGCCAGATGCAGTGCGATGAGCAGTCCTGTGCTGAGGAACTAAGGCCCCCAGCCAAGAGCCATGACAGGAAGCCATGTTGGAAATGGACACCCAGTCCCTGTCTAGCCCCAGTTTGCAACCTCATGAGAGATCCTGAGACCGAGCACCCAGCCGAGAAATTCAGATTCCTGCCCCTCAGAAACTGAGGCACAGAAGCTGAGCAAGGTGGTGCACACCTATAATTCCAGCACTCAGGAGGCTGAGACAGGAGGACTGCTGTAAATTCTAGGCCATCCTGGGCAATAGTAGTGAGCTCAAAGCTAGCCTAAACTACACAGTGAGAGCCTGTCTCAAAAAACAACAACACACACACACACACACACACACACACAAACACACAAAGAAAGGAAGGAAGGAAGACAGAAAAAAAAGAAACTGAACATAGGTTGAATATTCCTTACCCCAAATGCTTGGATTTGAGTACCCAGGACTGCTTCAGATTTTAAAATATTTGCACAGAATTTAGCAGCATCCCTAATCAAAAACTTCAAAATCTGAAATTCTCCAGAATTCAAAACTCCAATTTGGAAACTTGGAATTCTTGATAATTTGGATTGGGGAGCCTCAGTTGGTAATGGCACATTGTTTTAAGTGTGTTTTGTGGTGATTTGTTACATAGCAATAGCTTACTGATTCACTAACTTAAAATTGATTCCCAGTTTAAAAACAAAGTTACCAGGGCCAGGGATTTAGCTCAGTGGTTCCACCGTCTGCCTCGAAAGAGCAAGGTCCTGAGTTCGATCCCCAGTACCAAATAAATAAAGTTACCAGTTCTCAATTCGGCAGCCCATATACTAAAAATAAAATTACCTATTCTGTTATAGAAATGTTTGCAGAGAGCTTTTTTGTTTTGGTACCGGGTATCAAACTCAGATCCTTGTGCTTGCCTGAGGCAGGCGGTGGAACCACTGAGCTAAATCCTTGTCCCTGCAGAGAGCTTATTGAAATGATATTCATCTAAAGCGAGTAATGGCAGTTTCTGGGTGGTGGGATTTTGGGGGTGATTTTTCCTGTTTGTCTTTTTTCATACTTTTTTTTTTTTTAAACAGGATCTTGCTGTGCAGTTCAGGCTGTCTTGAACTCACAATGTAGCCCAGGTTGGCCTCAAACTGGAGGTAATCCTCCTGCCTCAGCCTTCAGGGTGCTGGGATCACAGACCTGTGCCACCACACCCAGCATTGATTTTTTTTCCTACCTTTTTTTTTTTTAACTAAAAAACCTTTGGCCTGCAGTGCTAGGATCAAGCCCCGGCCTTGCGTGCTGCACTGAGATGGGATTACAAGTGTGTACTACCATGTCTGGCCTTTTCCCATATTCTTAAACTGCTCTTTAGGATGCACTTGTGTCATTAAAAACAGAAACACAAATAACGACTCAGAGCCAGGTGCAGGAGGAAAAGGCGTCATTCTCCTGGGTGGGGTGACCATGTCTACAGGAAGCAGGTGCACCACTCCTTCAGACAGGTAGTGCTCCGGCGCGCCTCACACTCCGTGGCGCCGCAGCAGTCGATCAGCCACTTCTGGAACTCATCCTCGTCCTTGTGCATCAGAAGGAACTGTCCCAACAGGATGTAAGCCTGCAGAGGGACAGGGCAGGGGTAAATGGCGATGCCCGTTGCAATCTGTTGAGGAGGGTGGGTGCAGCTCAGTGGTAAATCACTTGCCCAGGGAGCACCAGGCCCTGGATTCCATCCAGGCACGAGAGAGAGGCCGGGTGGGGAACAGAATATAAAACGCAGAATCCAGAATCCAGAATCTAGCCCTGGGGGTGATGGGGCATGCATGTTATCCCACCACTTGAGGGACCTGAGGCAGGAAGATAGCAGGGAGTTGGAGGTCAGCCTGGCAGGGGGCCTGGCTCACCTCTGAGGCACCCTCAGGCCTCTCCTCTAGGACTTGTCTCTCAGAAACACACACGCACATGTGCACGCACACGTGAACGTGCATGCATGCACGCGCAGTCTGGGAAGCTTCAGCCCCGCTCCTTCTCTACTGCGGTTGTGCAGGGGTTCTCAGCCTCTGCACTGCTGGCTTCTGGATGGTCCAGAGAGCGAGTGTCCTGTGCCTTTTGCCCTGCAGGGGGTTAGCAGCATCCCTGGTCCTTACCCGCTGGAGGCCAGAGCGCCCTCCCAGCACTCCCAAGCAGTGACAGTCACAAATAACCATGGCCACATATTACCAGAGGACCCGTGGCTCCCAGACCTGCTTCTGCTGGTAGGGAACTGCACCCTGGTGGTGCGGCTGGCAGGCAAAGGGCATCCTGATACCCATGGCTTTTTGTACCACCTGTGTGACCTCAGCTGCTCTGCCCAAAGGACGAGGCCAGCAGCACCCAGGTCTCAGCATCTGCACCTCCACAAAGCACATAGAGTGACCTGTCCCTCAGATGGAACTAATGGGAAAGCTTTGGAGAAATGCAAATTCCTCCCAAGCATGGTGGCTCATGCCTGTGATCTCAGTGCTCAGGAGGCTGAGGTAGAAGGATCGCTGTGAGTTCGAGGCCAGCCTAGACTATGTATATACAGTCCTTGTTTAACAACTGGGTTCTAGGGGCCGGAGATTTAGTTCAGTGGTTCTGCTGCCTGCTTCGCAAAGTCAAGGACCCAAGTTTAATCTCTGGTACCAAAACAAAACAACTGGGTTCCATTCCCATGTCTAGGTTGTTAAATGAATTGGTTGCTAAATAAGAAATTGTATGTAGTATGTACATTACAATATTCAGAAAAAACAAATGGTCAAAGGAAACTCCAACTTTATGGCTTTGCTTTTATTTGCATAACTCTAACATGCAGTACTACAGTGTATGCAGAACATAAAACTACAGTACAGTCAGCAAAAATTACAGTACCGAACTGTAGAAAAAGTCATCAAAAGGCCACAATGCCACTTGTGTTCCTGTGTCGTGGGTCCAAATGTGGGTCAAAAGTTTGAATAGTCCACCTCAATCTAAGTCCAAACAGTCATTAAACATGTAGGTCACTAAACGAGGAGTATCTGTAGTGAGTTCAAGACTAGCTTGGACTACATAGCAAGGCCTTGTATCAAAAAAAAAAGCCTTCCTGCTGGGCATGGTCTTGCACACCTCTATTTCCAATACTCGGGAGACTAAGCAAGGAGGATCATCATAAATTGAGGGCCAGCCTGAGCTACATAGTGATTTCAAGGTCACTACACAGTGAGACTCTGTCTCAAAAAACAAAAAACAAACAACCCCCGAGAAAACCTCCTTGACCTCCTTTATTCTGGGAGCTTTGATGCTTCTGTGTGGGAAGAGCACCGAAGGTATGAAATGTGCTACTGGGAGCGCAGCACAGTAGATCACTGTGGCCAGGCCTAACTCACCTTCTCTCCTAGCTGAGGCAGAGCCCTGCGTGGAATGAGGAACACGCACCTTGTTCACTTCCTCCCATGGATGAGGTAGGGCCCCAGGGGAGGAGAACAGGTGACAAGAGGGCATTGTGGAGAAGGCCTGGCTCTAGTGACAGACCATCCCCTTTTACCTCCCCCTGTGCTTCCCTTTCCTCTACACTGTATCCATCTTTTTTTTTTTTGTACCGGGGATTGAACTCGGGACCTTGTGCTTACAAGGCAGGCGGCAGAACCACTGAGCTAAATCCCCAGCCCAGCTCTACACTATAAATAAAGGTGCTGAGGATGCCGGCCATATGGGATAAAATTTTATCCCATCAGGAAAAGGGGTTTCCACCTGGTCCCAGCTTTATCAGCTTTATCTCTTTGTCATTCTCTTTGTCTGTCTTTCTTAATCTCCCACTGTCAGTTCTCACTCCGTGGACCCTTCAGCCACGTGGGCCATGGCAACATGCTAAACCTAATCCCTCTTCGCCAGGCCTCCAACAACCCATTCTCACTGTGAGGCCTCTGGCTTCTTGGTCTGAACTGCTCCTGGTTCCCAGTTCTCAGGCCTGCACATGGTGTGGCAATACAGCCTTGATAGCAAGGGCCAGTCTGCTAAACCCTCTCGTAGTTACACATATTTCACTGGCCCTGTTTTTCTGGAGAACCCTGACTACTCCACTTCCTAAGAATCCCTGTGAGAAACTTGCAAGGTAAATAGTAAGTGACTGTGACATCCATACTTCTATGATGTTCTCTAGTTTCCTGACCACTGGCCCTCCATGGCATCGCCTTTCCCTCTACAATATCGTCATGCCACTGCTGACAAGCAGGAAGGGCCTCCAAGGACTGTGTGGCCCAAGAGATAGGGGGAAGGGAGGAGAGGGGAAGAAAGAAGAGTGAGATATGTTATGTACAGGTACCAATTCCCAATGAGGACTGTCATCATTATGCACTGAAAACATGGACTAATAAAAAATTTTTAAAAAATAAAATTGCTGGGCATTGTCAGACACACCTATTATCCCAGCACTCAGGAAGCTGAAGCATGAGGATCGCCATGAGATCAAGGGCAGCCTGGGCTACATGGTGTGTACAAGGCCAGCCTAGACTACCCAGCAAGACCCTGTCTCAAAAAAGCAAAAATAAAATAAAAAAAAAGAAAAAAATTAATGTGCTCTTTGGATCCATTTCTTTTCGTGAACCCCCACTGATCCTCCAAAGAAAGATCATGTGATGGCTGGGCCACTCCCTGGTGTGGCTGGAGTCTCCCATCCACCTCTTGGCCACTCCAGGACTCCCCAGCCCGGAGCAAGCAGAGCCAACGTCTGCCCTGCCTCCAGTTCTGGGCCTTTTCAGAAACACCAGCTCTCTAGCCTCTGTTGACTTGGTTACATAAAACAAAGCAAACTTCGTCTCCACCAAAGGGAACTTTTTTTGTAAACAAGTGAAATAAAATAAAAGCTTAATCCCAGTCATAGAATGTACCCCAGCTGTGGAGTGGGGGCTACTATATTTATTATTTATTTATCTTGGCCATGCTGGGGAGGCGCCCAGGGCCCTGTGCACACTGGCCAAGCACCCCACCACTGAGCCAAACTCTCAGCCCGGGGTTTTATTTTTAGTATTGCCCAGTTGTGGAAAAGAGAAAATAGCCAGGATTTCACAGTAATTTTAAACCACTACTTTGATCATTTTTTTTTTTAAGTGATTGCTTAGCATGATGTCATTTTTACCAGTATCTCCCATTTTCAGCGGTGGATTTTACTGATTTTAAATCAATGCTTTTAACAAGGGGCATCTACAAAGTGCCCATAGGGCCAGGGACTGAAGGTATGGGGGTGGCAAGGTGAACATGACAGAGTTGAGAAGCGTAGAACTTTGTCCCAGGAAAGAGTTGGTAATGATGATAATTAATGATGGTAAGTGTCACTTCAAAGTGTTTTGGTAGGGTTTGACCCACCTGGTCCCCATGTGTCCTGCTCAACCTCCTCCATCCCTCAGTCCCTGTCCTGTGCACATCTCCACTGCCTGCCGGCCTGTCCCTCAGCTGAGGCTTCCTCTTCCATCTCTAGCTGGTCTGGTAACCAGAGCCTCCTGTCCCATCAGGCTCAGAGGCCCAGAAGCCAGGAACACGTGGCAGCAGGACACAGGCAGACTTTCCAGGAATGCTGGAGGCAGTAGGGCTCCAGGCCAAGCTGCAACTTGATACTCTGTTCTTGGATTTTCTTCTGCCTTACCCTGGCATCTTGTAGGGGCAGAGGGAAAAGTGAGCCACCCGCCTTCTTACTCCATTCTGATGACTTCTCCCTGCCCCATACCTGCTTGGGTTCTCAGCCAGTTAGAGAATGCAAACCCGTAACCATGGGAAGACATCTCAGCTCCCAGAAACCCAGCTGCAGGAGGTTGCTATAGAAACATAGAAACCCTGAGTAGGCGTCCCCACCCTCTCATTGCCCTGGCCAAGCCAGGGAGCCACACTTCTTCCTGTAGCAGCGAGACGGTGGCCTGTGGGCAGATGTCCCATCAACTCCAAGTGAGGGCAGGAGGCCACTCCTTAGTCAATGTGTCCCTTTGATCTGCACCAGGTTGGTGTCTTTGTGTGTCGCCTGTGTGGACACCAGAGTGCCTCGAAGAGGAATTGACTTGGTTCAATGCTATGCTGCCACCATCTTTAAAGTTGTAAAGCCTCTGAACCAAGGGCTTCCCATTGTCCTTTTGCCTGGGCTCTGGTCTGTAGTCACTGAAAATCTGAACCTTTATCTGGACACCTGGCTTGGCAAACAGAGAGACGTTCCCTTAGCTTTGCTCATTCCCAAGCTTCCTACGGTTCCCTTTGCCAGAGTCCCCAGCTCTTGGGTGCCCCGGTGAACGTCCCTCACATTGCGGCAGGTCTCTAGTACAGTGACACAACTTCTGATTCTCTCTTGTTGGTCTTCAGGTCCACTGACAGCCAATGGCAACCTTGCCAGGCCAATGTCTCTAGGTCACTTCAAGTTTAAATCTGCCATTAGTGTGAATGCTCAATCCACAGGAGCTCTTCTCTCTTCCGCCTCCCTTTTCCCCAGGACATACTTATTGTATGAAATTATTTGTTTATCTAAAATTCAAATTTAATAGAACTCCTTGTATTTTAGCAGGGTAACCCCCAATCTTAGCCCCTGAACCTAAGCAACTGACTTCTGCAGGTTCAGACATCAGAAAGCTTGGCCTGGGGACCTGG